GGGGGGGTCGTATTCCCATTTCCCAGCCCAAATTTTGACTAAATCCCATTGTCCCAGAGCACAAATCCCATCATCTCAGTGGCTGTCCTGCCCAAATCTTAATCCCATTCCCATTTTCTATTGTTTTTTTGCTGATGAATCCCAGTCCCAGTACATGAAATCCCATTTTCCCACCCAAAAATAAGCAAATCCCAGTTCTTATTTTACCCCTTCAGGACCCTCACATAACAAGAATATTACAAGGTTGACGACACAAGGTTGTAACAATATTGTTATATCATGACTGGATCAGACTTGTTAGAACAACCTTGCCACAAGTCTGATAATGTCATCAAGCTTGTTACAAGTTGTTAACAGTTTGTTCCAAACTTGTTGACATCTTGGGACAAACAAGCGGTGCGACGACAACTTGTTGACGGCTTGTTGACAGACTTGCTACAAGATGTGATATTTTTACGTGGGTAGTAAGCGCTAAACCTGCACGTGGTCGCAAACGAAATTCAAATCAGCCCGCGCCAAAAATAATCTATACCGCGCCAAGCAGCCTATACACGTAAAAATCTCACATCTTGAAGCAAGTCTTTGTCCCAAGTTGTCAACAAGTTTGGAACAAGCTGTTAACAACTTGTAACAATCTTGTTGATATTATCAGACTTGTTGCAAGGTTGTTCCAACAAGTCCAATGCAATCATGATATAACAATATTGTTACAACCTTTTGTCGTCAACCTTGTATCATTCTTGTTATATCATACCTGTATCAGACTTGTTAGAACAACCTTGTAACTGATAATGCCATCATGCTTGTTACAAGTTGTTAACAGCTTGTTCCAAACTTGTTACAACAACTGGGAACAAGCAGTGCAAACACAACTTGTTGACAGCTTGTGAACAGATTTGTAACAACTTGTTTGCAGACCTGTAACAACTTGTGCGTTTTTACGTGTGTAAAAGATGTAAGATTTTTGCGTGATATACACACGATATAACAAGTCTGCAAACAAGTTGTTATACGTCTGTTCACAAGCTGTCAACAAGTTGTGTTCGCACTGCTTGTTCCCAGTTTGTTGTAACAAGTTTGAAACAAGCTGTTAACAACTTGTAACAAGCTTGATGGCATTATCAGCCTTGTTACAAGATTGTGCTAACAAGTTTGTCACAGCCATGATATAACAAGGATTAACGTTACAAGGTTGTCAACACAAGGTTGTAACAATCTTGTTATATCAAGCATGTCACGGACTTGTCAGAACAACCTTGCAACAAGTCTGATAATTTCGACAAGGTTGTTACAAGTTGTCAAGACACAACTTGTGACAAGCAGTGCGAATACATCTTGTTGACGGCTTGTTGGCAGACTTGTTACAAGATGTGAGATTTTTACGTTTGTAGTACACAAGGTTGTAACAATATTGTTATATCATGACTGTATCGGACTTGTTGGAACAACCTTGCAACAAATCTGATAATATCAATAAGTTGTTAACAGCTTGTTCCAAACTTATTGACAACTAATTTATACCGCGCCAAGCGGCCTAGAGAGCAAAGGCTGCGTGCCACAATGCTATAGTAACTACAGTTCTGTTCATATGACCCGACTACACACGTAAATATCTCACAACTTCTCAACAAGATGTGTTCACAATCGCAACAGTTGTTGAGCTCAACAACCTTGTAGCAAGTTGCCAACAAGCCGTTGACAACTTGTCAATAAGCTGGGAACAAGCAGTGCGAACACATCCTGTTGACAAGGTGTTGGAACAGCATTGCTACAAGTCTGCCGCAGGTTTGTTACAACTTGTGCGTTTCTACGTGTGTACACGCGTAAAAACACACAGGTTGTTACAGGTCTGCAAACAAGTTGTTACAAGTCTGTTCACAAGCTGTCAACAAGTTGTGTTCGCACTGCTTGTTCCCAGTTGTTGTAACAAGTTTGGAACAAGCTGTTAACAACTTGTAACAAGCTTCATGGCATTATCATTACAAGGTTGTTCTAACAAGTCGGATACAGTCATGATAAACAAGAATGTTACAAGGTTGACGACACAAGGTTGTAACAATATTGTCAGTATATCATGATTGTATCGGACTTGTTGGAACAACCTTGCAACAAGCCTGATAATATCAACAAGGTTGTTACAAATTGTTAACAGCTTATAGCTTGTTCCAAACTTGTTGACATCTTGTGACAAGCAGAGCGAAGACAACTTGTTCACGGCTTGTTGACAAACTTGTTACAAGATGTGAGATTCAAAAATTTGCGTGTGTAGCCGGCATGAATTGGCGTGTCATGAAAATTCCATACCACTTAAAGTATCGTTTGAATATGAACTTTATGCTATTACTGGAATTAAACGAAGCTAATTTAACTTTGACTGTGTCATTTTGGATGTGATAAAAGCTTTATTAATGATAAAAGCTTTATTAAAGGTCGAACAACCTTTCAGAAAGAATTCAATTTTTTTTCTTCTAAAAGAATGTGAAACAAATTTCTGTTAATAAGCAGAATAGCAGAAGCCTGCTGGGTACGAATTGGTTAATTCACCTTTCCTGTGATGAGTAATATAACCCTACCATGCATGTAAGTAATAAAAAGGCAATTAATTGGAAATTAAACGACACAGATCAGAATCTAGATCGTTTATAGCATCCAGTACTGTTCTCCACTGTTCTTCACCGACATGGCGGCTCAAGCGAAGCGGTCACGACTCGAAGTTGACAAAAATGATAGCTTTGAAATAACCACTGTAGAAATGCACACTGCAGGCGACCCTTTACGGATTATTACTTCTGGTTATCCCGAAATCAAAGGCGAAACGATTTTAGCCAAACGAAAATACGTAACAGAGAATTTAGATTACATTCGCAAGCTCCTGATGCGCGAGCCGCGAGGCCACACGGATATGTTTGGTGCATTGTTAGTAACTCCTGATCATGAGCAAGCTGATCTAGCCGCGTTGTTTATGCATAATGGAGGTTATAGTGTCATGTGTGGTCATGCTGTCATTGCTTTGGGCCGTCATGCTGTTGATTCAGGTTAGAATATAAATTATAAATATGCCAGTGCAGTACAACTACCCGAAAAATATAAGGAGAATTTCGACGTTTTCTAGCGAAGGCTCTATCAATCCGAAGCTTTCAGAATACCAATTTTCATACAAAGCTGAGGGGGTAAATGGGTCTTGGTATTGCGCAATTTGCCGGGTCACCAGACGGTGATCACAACATGATACATAGAGGATATTACACGGCGGCGCGAAGATATGACTTTTTATCTTCGAGTGGTGAGAACAATATTTTGTGAGTGAGTAAAATATTGTTTTTAGAGAAGATAAAAGTCGTATCTTCAAGTCACCGTGTAATGTTCTATTTATTATATAGTCCCAAGCAAAAAATTGCGAAATTTCACACTCAAAAGCAAATTGGAAAAAGTCACGTGATCGATATCTTCACTAGGGAAGATATGGAAAATATCTTACTCTGTAGTTTTCAGTATCTCACTCTCTACTATATAATAAAAGTATGAAAATTCATTATATGCTGCTCATGCAAAGTTCAGAAATGTGGAAGCTATAAGTCCTGGTCAAACGAGAGTAATTTTCTCAACTCTCATGCCCCGGTCAAACGAGAACAAAAGTTGCATGAGAGTTGATGAGACTGAGTTGTTGACTGGATATTCCAGCGCGCGTAGCGAAACCTCGCATCAAGGCCGGCAAGAGGGCAAAATACCCGGGGCGGAGTGCTCAGAGGGCCCGGAGATCGTCGTGATCGATCGTAAAACGTACCAAATGTGAAGTAAACGATTTTTTGAGCAAAAACAGTTAGCTGAACATCGTTCACATTTCGTTTTTATCAGTTATGCGGCGATTTCTTGCAAGTAATTCGCTGGTAATTCTCTCGTTGATTGCGATTAAAAATAGACTTTGGCGTGGCCAAGCGCCAGCGGGAGAATCGAGAGGGACAGGGGGGCCCGTGTTCACCAATTCGTCATTTTGTCCTGGGGCCCGTGCTGGAAGCTATATTTCACAAGTCACATAGGTGATGATATTTGCTTTATAGTCTACTTGAACTTAAACAGCAAACGATAAGACTGGTCATGAATTTGACTGATTTATGAATCTCATCTCATTAAAGTATTCTGGCTTCAAAATCGGATTACTGAATTCAATAGGATGTTTTATCCAGTCTTATTTCAGATCAGTGGGCTCACTGACACTATATCTATTTTAGGCCTCGTAAAGATAGACACATCAACGACCAGCAGTGTTCCAGTGTACATACAGTGTCCTTGTGGTTTGGTCAAGGCTATGGTCGACGTAACCAATGGTAAATCTGGCAAAGTAAAATTCACCAGTGTACCAGCATTTGCATATGCAGTTGATGTCAAACTACCAACAAAATCCTACGGTGAAGTCACCCTCGACATTGGCTATGGTGGAACATTCTATGCATTTATCTCAGACAAGGAGTTAGGTTTAGATGTCCGAAAGTCAAGTGTTTCCCAACTTACGTCTGCGGCAAAAGAGATTCTAGAAATTTGCCGTGAGAAAGTAACAGTGAATCATCCCGAGGAGCCAGATCTTGCGTTTATGTATGGTTGTATAATCACTGATGGTAAAGACCAGTTCACCAAGTTTCAGAATGAACTGACACGTGAAATGTGTTACTATGGCAAAGCCGGGGCGGTAAGCTACTTTAAATTCTCTTATAACTGAGCGGGCTCCCTTTTCAAGCTACCTCTTAAATACATCCCCTTTTCAGGACCGCCCAGACAAAGGAATGATGGCCAAATCGATCTTGAATTTTGTATAAACTGAAATGTTGTCGGCAAATGCGATACTACCCCCTCCACCTGCTTTAGCCTCTTCTCGACGTCCCTTGTGACAAAAGGGATTTGTCAGCATCCATCAGAACCCTGATCCAGGGTTTATTTTAAGAAAAATTTAGAACTGCACACATGGGGATGTAACGAAGGCAACGGTGTTTGACGGGGGGGGGGGGTCAAAGGATTTTTTTACCTGCATATAGGTGACATCTGGAATAATGGTGTGGTTGGGTGGGAGAATTGAAGAAAGGCCAGACAAACTCGATTTTGGGTGCGGGAGCTAGGGGTGTTCCCCAAAACAATTTGAATCTAGAGGCTGTTAAGTTCTGGCAAAGATTTGCTTTACCCAACCACTCACAAAAACTGTTTTAAAACATGTACTGCATGGGAATCATGGATATTCAATATATAACAACCCTAAATTTGCATTTGAGGCAGCAAAGAATATTAAGTTCTCCCACTCTAATCTCTTTTGGGGAGCCTCGCTCGCCCCAATTTCACCTTCTTTTCCATTACCCCCAGCACGTAAGTGTTTTGTGAGGAAAATAGGAGGGTCTGGAGTCCTCCTCCAGAAATCGTTTATATTTTTGATGCTCAATTAATGACAGCATTTCTGGAATTTTCTGGAGAATCCACAAGGGTAACGAGTAAATGAGAAGACTGTTTTAATTAAGGCAATTTTTGTTAGTTTGGTGACTGCACATTTGTGATTTAAGAACTGCACAAATGGGTTTAGAACTGCACATTTTGTGTAGAACTGCACGTTAAAATAAGCCCTGCCCTGATCCTTTGGAAAGTTTCATTTTAAAGCTTTCAACTGAACTGGGCAAGTCATAGTACTGAACTACGTCATAGTAAATCTCTCTCTCTGGAACGAAATAAAGGGAGACGAAGCGCGCGAGATTGATCACACTTCTTAAAATTCAAAGTCTAGGTGGCCCTGGGAAAATTATAAGTTTGGGGTTAGGGTTCACGAAGATACTACTTTAACGTCACTTGCTATTTCATATATTTAGGTTTGCCGTTCTCCTTGTGGGTCAGGTGTAACAGCCCGCATTGCAGTACAGCACCACAAACGTCAAATTTCTCTCAACCAATCACGCGAGTTTGAAAGCATTACCGGGTCCACGTTCACAGCCAGCCCAATCCAGGAGACAAAATGTGGTGAATTTCTTGCAGTGTTGGTTGAGGTTGAAGGTCTGGCGAATTATTGTGGCAAAGCAACATTTTCTGTGGAGGAGAATGACCATTTTCAAGAAGGCTTTCTTGTCAATTAATTAGACTTGATTATTTTTAATTATCCACTTTGCCGCAATGAACCTGTCATCCAATAATTTTTGTAAAGAACCAAAATCATGAATATCTTTATACCTTTTTAAATATAAAATATATTATACACATTTCAATTTTTATACACAATACTATTTTCTGCTGCAAGAGACTTTCAGGGTAAATCCAACCCTCTATACAAAATGCCTTTGCAAAAACAAAGCCTCAATCATTGCCTACTTTTTCCTACGAGCAGATGACGACCTCGAAGAAACACGGGATAGCGGTTGCCTCGACGACGCCCGCGGCGAAGGTGTTGATAGTGTCTGTGGCGTCACTTCCGTGCTCGCCTGCCAGGACGTGGGTTTGGTCGTGATTTCTGTAGACTGGGCACTAGCTGGACGCGAGGCAGCTCGTTCGAGACCACGTATTTTTTCCAACGCAACCTTTAGCTCGTTTTCAGCATCCAATGCACGCTGTTCCGCATGTTGAGCTCTCTCTTCCGCTTCTCTGTTGAAGGAGGAAATACATTTAAAAAAATACTACTCACGGAACTAAACTAACTATATTTACACTGGATAGCTCTACAGTTCTAAACTGTTCTCCCTAGAGGTCCAGTAAGGATCATCTCTTATTGATCCAGTGTTACTACAGAAGGAAACCTAAACTAAAATAATTTTATTTATACTGGATAGTTCTATCAGTTTTAAACTGTTCTTCCTAGAGGTCCAGTAAGAATCATCTCTTATTGACCCAGTGTTACTACAGGAGAAAACCTAAACTAAACTAACTTTATTAATACTGGATAGCTCTATCAGTTCTAAAGTGTTCTTCCTAGAAGTCCGGTAAGGGTCGTCCCTTATTGATCCAGTGTCAGTACAGGAGGGAACCTAAACTAACTTTATTTATACCGGATAGCTCTATCAGTTCTACACTGTTCTTGCATTGATCCAGTGTAATTACAGGAGGAAAGCTAAACTAAACTAACAGTATTTATACTGGATAGCTGTATCAGTTCTGAACTGCCCTTGTCCGAGGTCCATTAAGGGACATCCATTATTTGTTAGCATTATTTGTTCAGAAAACTAGCGCTGAAAACGTGCGGTGTATGGTAGAGTCAAACAGTAAAACTACGCGACCAAAACTCTCAGCAAACATGCATATATTTCACACACTTACAACAACTCCTTTTGCAATTTCTCGACCGTCTCCAAAGGTTGAAACGAATTCGACGTAACTAGATAACAAAACACATTCATTTCAAGAACAGAACAGAACAGAACAGAACAGAACAGAACAAAACAAAACAAAACAAAACAAAACAGAGACTTGTTGTTATATACTAGATCGCTCAATGGATAAGAATGTTAAACGCCTTTTGCAGATGAAAGTGTCGAGGGGAAAAGAAATACTTATTTTAGAAAAAGAAGAAGCTAAACTAGTCTAAGAGTCGATTGTTATTAATAAACAAATATACCATTAGTCAATGCTTGTGGCGTAGTTTCGACCTAAACAAAGAATTCAGAGTTAAACAAGCAGTCATATAACAGGAATGTGAAGCACAGGGGGAAGTCATGATTATGATATCTGAAGATTAGCACTGTAAAACTCAAAATATGAGTTAAAACAAGACGAGAATATATTTCGGTTTTATTTTAAAATCATCATAGTCTGATGATGATTTTGAAATAAAATCAATATTTCACAAACTTAGGGACCGGTCATTATTTATGGCAGGGGTGGGGGCCGAAGAGAAAATGGTGGGGTAACTGAAAAATAATAGTTGCTTTAGGTGGGGTGGCCAAAAAATCCTTGCATGCAGAGGTGGGGTAAAAAAAAATAACCTTACTTTAATCACACACAATACAATATATACTACTATCAGAGTTTAATATGTGATTATTCTAATTTTTTAATAAAATATTATTGCTTTCCAAAATGTTGACAGAAACACCCCCCTCAACCCACCCGTAAAGGGTCATTTTTATATTCATTTACACACAAAATCTCAAAGACTCCAATTACCAGACAAAATATATACTGCCTATATATAGGGGCTGTTTATATGGTGCAACTGCAAGCCAACCCCAGGGTACCCAAGCTGGCCCAGTTTTGGCAAGATCCTGCCTTTGTTGTTATTTCTTACTAAAGTTCACCTTGTGTATATATGGGTAAAGAGCAGGCCCAGCTATAGCTAAGCGAGATCCC